CCCCCACCCCAATCACACTCGGATCTACGCCTTTTCCCCGGGCCCCTTCCGTCAGAACCCGACCCCCTCCTAGCTCGATCGGGCCCGGGGCTCTGTGCCCGCCCGCCCGGAAGGCCAGGCCGCTGACCGGTCCAGGAGCTGGAGGTCGGGTCTTTCTCGCGGTTCTTCATAAAAGCTGATGCCCGGATGCGTGGCAAGGGCCCGCCACAGAAACTCCTGCGTGTAAGGCTCCAGAGGCAGGGGGAAGGGCGGCACTCGAGTCTCCAGGCGGCTCCACAGCGCGGGCAGACACAGGCCATCCAGGCCCTCCAGGGCCACCTCGTCCAACAACGACTCCAGCGCGTCCATTGCTGGATCAAGCGGCACCGTCCGGGCGCCTGCGCACCAGGCCGCCGAGGACCCCGGCCCAACGCGCCTGCGCAGTAATGAATAGCCAAGGAGGCGGGTCCGACGGGGCCGTGGGAGGAGGAGTTTCAGCTGGCCGAGGTGACGCCCGTCCCCTCGGGGGCGGGCTCAATCCGGCGCTCCGCCGCCATTGGTCCGGAAGCCTGCAGTAACCAGGGGAACTGCAAACAGTGCCAGGCCGCTTCCGGTTCGAGCACCCGGAACCGCCGCCTCTAGGGATGGACGGTGAGTGTCCGTGGGCCCCTTCGGGAGACCGGGCAGTTATTCTCTCATCCCTCCTGAGACCTCCACTGGGCGGAAACCTAGCTGCAGACCCCTGGACCACCACTGCCCGACCCAAGGTGGTCCCCGGGTTGAGGAAAGGGAGCCCTCACGGTCCGGCAACGGGGAGCAGTGGTTGGGGGGAGTGGTCAGTGATTTGGCCACTGTGCAGAGTTGGGTCGTGCAGGAAACCGGGGGACGCAGTACAAGGGTTTGGGGTGAGAAGGGAGAAATGGAAGTTTGAGGAGGAGCTTGCGTGTTCCGGGATACGGAATTTGTGGGATCTGAAGGTTGGTGTGAGAATAAGCCACTGGCAAAAGGGAGTTCGTAAAGGGTGGTGGGGGTGGGGGGAACTACCCTTTTCGGGCAGTATTATTATTCTATTTTACAAATGAGTAAACTGATACTAAGAGAAGTTAACTTTCCTAAAGTCAAAGAGCCAGCTACTAGCAGAGTGAACGAGGAACACAGACACTGTTTCTGGAGTTGAAGTGCGGAGTTTGACATTTGGAAGGGTTAGTTAAACGCCCCTCATTGTATAGCTTGCAAATAAATACATTTATGTGTGGACTGTGATTGAAAACCAGTTCCCCTTCTGAAATAGAAACTTCTCACTCAACTCTGATTAGTTTTTTTTCATGAGGCTCTTCACAAAATACTTTGAAGGCCAGGTATAGGCCCGTAGTCACCATTTAGGGATCCCTAGAGAACAGAGTTGATAATTGAAAGCAATCTAAAATAGGTTACTTTTTTTCCTTCTCATTTTGTAAATGGGAAAATTAATGTCCAGAGAGACTGGTAGGAGCTCCATTCTAGAATGTAGGACATTTTCCTTATTTCACCGCTGTCCCTTGCTTCCGGGGAATTCATTCCTTTGTGAAATCCACTTAAATGTGGGATGGAAAAAAATTTTTTAAATGAACAAACAGTCGGTCATGTGCTTAAAAGACGCCTGCCCGTTGGACTTCAGAGGTACTATAAAATGACACTTGCCAGCTTGTCCTATGATAAGGTCAGTGTACTATTAGGACTAGACAACAGTTCTGAAACCTTTCGGTCTCTAAACCTTTTAGTTTCTTACCTTAAGAGAACTTTGTTCATGTATGTTATCTCAATGATCTTACCATAGCAGAAATTAAAGCTGAGAAAATTTAAAAACATCCATTTACCAATTTATGTGAGGATGGTAACCTATGACTTCTGAGCACAATAATATTTTAAATGAAAAACAGCTTCGTGTCTTCCACACAGAAAGTCAGTAGAAGAGTGGCATTGTGTCACATTACATCAAATCTTTTTATTGTCCAGTTCAGTAAATGATAGGTAATTTCTTATTCTGCTTCAGCGATCAAGTTATTGTGTTGTTATTTTAACTAATGTATATGAGGAAAATATGGCCTCACATGGATATATAATTGGAATGGGGCATATTTTATTAATAGGCTTTCCAGATAACTGTAGACATTTTTCTTCGATAGGATGCCAGTTCTTAAAGATTAGTTACAGTGTGGCATACGAAATCATATTGAATTTTGTATTTTTGTACTTTAAAATCCATTTTTCTATTTTGATTGTGTATTGGATTATTTTTTAAAGATTTATTTGGTCATAGAAGAATTGGGGTATAGGCCAGAGGTGCAAGTGGTAAGAAGATTCACCAGAGATAGAGTGGGGAGCAGAGCAAGCAGATCTACTGAAATAAACTGCTTAGGGGAGCAGCAGGAAAGTCAGAAGAGGTCTGCTGCACTATATGTAGGTTAGCTCCCTGGCAAGAGATCTAATTCAGGCCACAGCAGTGATAAGAGTTGAGACTTAACCCCCACTCTACCAGGGTGGCCCCAATTGTGTATTTTATTATCCCATTTTACAAATGAGTAAACTGAGACTGTTGGTCACTTGAAAATGTTGGTTCATTGAGTTATGCAAATCTTCCAAATACGGACCTTTGAAATGTTATTTACACTATATTTTTAAAAATCATATTGGCTAATGTGACTACCTACCTCCTTTTTTAAAGAAAGTGTTTGAGCATTGAGAAACTATTAAATTCAAGGCAGTGGAAACAATTTTTCTAATTGCTTTCATTGGAAAGTTTCAACTTTACCATTGGCAGCAAATACTATCATTTGTTTCCCTGAGGGTTTGTTTCTTTTGGGAAAAAAAAAAAAAGTCTGCCAAATACAAGAGATGGTCTGTTACTTAGTCCAGTAAAAATGGCATTCTGTATAGTAAACCGGTTAGTTCAGTTTGCAACTCATACAATCACACAAATGTATTCTGGGATCCAGCATTGTTCTTAGAGGAAAGCAATGGCTTGTGGAAGGGTTTTGTGCGTATTCCCTATATTCATAAATGTTAAAAAGACGTGCACTCATAGGTTGAAAGTTAGTAAAATTTATTTTTGTTCCATTAGGACATTCTTAAGTGAAATTTACTTTTTTGTTTGCTTTATTGTGATTACAAAGCAATAAAGAACACAGTGACAAGTACAGCTTGCTGCCACGGCCACAGTCAATCAGGTCACAATCACTTTTTACCACACTCTGTTGCTTTTGCATCATTGGTGCAAATATCAACACAGTGAAAATGAGTTAGAATTATGATGAAAATTGTGTGGTCCTGTGGGCCCCTCCTCCTAGGTCTGTGGAACACATTTTGAGAAACATTTCTAGACCATTTTCAAGCAACATGCTTCATCAACTTGTAATTGTTTTCATCTCAGCGCCCTAGAGCATTACGACACACAGTCCAGTGGAGGATCATGCATGTTCCTTCTCACACTGGTTAAAGAAAGGAAAAAATTGCTCTCTTTAAGAACATGTTTACCCTAAGAATAGATCTAGCACTTAAAGGATTCCTTACTCCATCACATTTTAAAAAAATATGTTATTTATATATGCATACAGAAATGGGGTCCAGGCCAAAGGTGCAAGGACAATGAGGTGCAAGGATTCATTGGGGAGCAGAACGGGCAGATTGACAAAGTACACTGCTGAGGAGAGCAGTGGGGAGACAGGAGAAGTCTTATGGGTCACCTCTGGGGCCGGGGATTGAACTCGCACTGAAGCGGCCATGCTTTGGCTTAGCTTCACAGTGCAGCGCTCCAACCTGCTGTGCCATGAGGGAGGGCCCCATCACATTATTTTTAATCCTTTTTTTTTTAAAGATTTATTTATTTATGCATACAGAATTGGGGTACAGGTCAGAGGTGCAGGGGTGGTAAGAGAATTCACCAGAGATAGAGTTGGGAGCAGAACAGGCAGATCGACGAAGTACACTGCTGAGGGGAGCAGCGGGCGGGTCAGGAGAGGTCTGCCGCGCCATGTGGATCACCTTCAGGCCTGAATTGAACTGGCATTGAAATGGCTGCGGCTGGCTTGCAGTGCTGTGTCCTAACCCATTGCGCCACCAGGGAGGACCCTCCATCACATTTTTAAATTTACACGCAATTTTATGGGCATGAATGATAGTTTAAAGTACACTTTGAAGAAGGTGATTCTAACTAGATACGGCGAGCCCCTCCTTTTAGAAAGATGTTTACTCTGTGAACTTACAAAAGCATAACTGCCTTCCGAATATCCCCCAACTGGGTTGTAGTTTGGTGTATTCTGCATGTCCACATGACTTAGCTTTTCATGATATTTTTCCTGGCCTTTTGGTCTTGACCTTGAGCAGGTCCTCTCTGGCTCTGTAAGGCAGCTTGGCAGAGTCACTGCTATGGGCTGGGGGCAGGACATATATCCCTGCACTTTAATCTCTGTGGTACACTCTCACCTCTCAGAGCTTCTGTCGTTCTATGAATAAGTCAGAAGCGATGATGAAGCTTACCTGGCTTTGTTTGGATATGCATTTTTGTGCACACAATGAGACTATGCATGGGCACTGAACACCAAATCTGGCATTTAAAAAAGTGCTCCCACGTGGTAGCTAGAGCTGTCATTTTTTGCAAATGGGCACACTCCATCCACACTGCTGATGGATGCAGAAGATGCAGAAGGGAAGCTGATGGCAATCTCTAGCAAATAATAACTTTTGTAATTAGCTCACTCTTTGTTTAAAAGAGAAGCCTATATTTGACATTTTTATTTTAATGAAGGTACATTGGCAATGTGAGAGTCTTCTGCCTATGAAAAGGTTCACCTTTCTGTGAAAGTCGAATTTCCCCCAGTGCTTTTAAAATATGAGATGATTAGAAAAAATAGCCAACTTAGTTTCTGAGGAACATAATAATTAGGCAAAAGTTCAGCACATCAGTATAATTAGAAAGGATTTAAAGCTGTTCATTTGCTTTTGCTACCCCCAGAGCAAATATTTAACACTTCCCGTTTATACTATTCATTTGCTTAGCAAACCTTCTCAAAGAATTAATAACACCAAGATGAAATTTAGCCACACTTATCTAAATAATCCCAAATTGCAAAACGAGTGACAGTTGAATTAGCAAGGTCATGCTGAACGGATGTTGTCCATGTGTCTGGTCTCTTCTGTCACATGCTTGTGCTGGACTCCTAGTGATGTGTCTGCTTCTCTTCCTACTTAAAATAAGCCAAGAAAAAAGCATTCAATAAAATAAAGCAAAACAAGGCCACGTTCAGCAGGCAAAATAAATGTACAGTCCATGCAGTGTCTGTGTCAGTTCTGTTTTCCTTCCCTCTTTGCACCATCCTTCCCTCTGGTTCATTTATTTTCTCTTGGTGTTCTCCATCACTCATCCCACCCCATGCTTTTACTTCCAGGAACTTGGCCATTGCCGCAGCTTTCCAGTGCTTCAGTGCACTGGAATCCAGGGATACAAGATGAGTAAGATTGAATCCAGGTGAAGGGAGTTTGTTCACGTATTCTTGAAACTTAACCTGCGCATTTTAAAATTTCTCCTTAAAATAGAGAGGCAGTGGATTTGAAAACGAGTTTTTCACATCCCAGGTTATGTATTAGAGCCCCTGGCTTTATTTGGCCCATGGTGT